CTGGCCTCGCCGTAACCATTCAACCTGCACGGTTATGGCGTTGAACATCATCGCCACAACCATTCAACTTGGATTTTTTTGCGATTGACTATCTTCGGCATAACAATTCATCTCTGATGGTTATGCGGATGCCGTTGAATGTCGTCGGCATAACCATTCAACTTGGATGGTTATGTCGTTGACTGGCCTCGGCATAACTATTCAACTTGCATGGTTATGCAATTTAATGTCATCGCCACAACCATTCAACTTGGATGGTTATGCAGTTGAATGTCATCGGCATAACCATTCAACTTGGTTGTTTGTGCCGTTGACTGTCTTCGCCATAACCATTCGACTTGCATGGTTATGCTGTTGAACGTCATCGCCACAACCATTCAACTTGGATGGTTATGCCGTTGAATGTCGTCGCCATAACGATTCAACTTGGATGTTTATGCCGTTGACTATCTTCGGCATAACGATTCAACTCGGATGGTTATGTCGTTGAATGCCATCGACATAACCATTCAACTTTGATGTTTATTCCGTTGCCTGGCCTCGCCGTAACCATTCAACCTGCACGGTTATGGCGTTGAACATCATCGCCACAACCATTCAACTTGGATTTTTTTGCGATTGACTATCTTCGGCATAACAATTCAACTCTGATGGTTATGCGGATGCCGTTGAATGTCGTCGGCATAACCATTCAACTTGGATGGTTATGTCGTTGACTGGCCTCGGCATAACTATTCAACTTGCATGGTTATGCAATTTAATGTCATCGCCACAACCATTCAACTTGGATGGTTATGCAGTTGAATGTCATCGGCATAACCATTCAACTTGGTTGTTTGTGCCGTTGACTGTCTTCGCCATAACCATTCGACTTGCATGGTTATGCCGTTGAACGTCATCGCCACAACCATTCAACTTGGATGGTTATGCCGTTGAATGTCGTCGCCATAACGATTCAACTTGGATGTTTATGCCGTTGACTATCTTCGGCATAACGATTCAACTCGGATGGTTATGTCGTTGAATGTCAACGGCATAACCATTGAACTTTGATGTTTATGCCGTTAACTGGCCTCGGCATAACCATTCGACTTGCATGATTATGCCGTTGAACGTCATCGCCACAACCATTCAACTTGGATGGTTATGCCGTTGAAAGCCGTCGGCATAAGGCATAACCATTCAACTTGGATGGTTATGCCATTGAATGTCGTCGCCATACCGATTCAACTTGGATGTTTATGCCGTTGACTATCTTCGGCATAACGATTCAACTCGGATGGTTATGTCGTTGAATGTCAACGGCATAACCATTGAACTTTGATGTTTATGCCGTTAACTGGCCTCGGCATAACCATTCGACTTGCATGATTATGCCGTTGAACGTCATCACCACAACCATTCAACTTGGATGGTTATGCCGTTGAAAGTCGTCGGCGTAAGGCATAACCATTCAACTTGGATGGTTATGCCATTGAATGTCGTCGCCATAATGATTCAACTTGGATATTTATGCCGTTGACTATCTTCGGCATAACGATTCATCTCGGATGGTTATGTCGTTGAATGTCATTGGCATAACCATTCAACTTTGATGTTTATGCCGTTAACTGGCCTCGGCATAACCATTCAACTTGCATGGTTATGCCGTTGAATTTCATCGTCACAACCATTCAACTTGGATGGTTATGCGGATGCCGTTGAATGTCGCCGGCATAACCATTCAACTTGGATCGATGGTTATGCCGTTGACTGGCCTCTGCATAACCATTCAACTTGCATGGTTATGCTGTTGAATGTCATCGCCACAACCATTCAACTTGGATGGTTATGCCGTTGAATGTCGTCGGCATAACCATTCAACTTGGATGGTTATGCCGTGGACTGTCTTATTATTATTATTATTGTTATTATTATTATTATTTAAATTATTATTTAAAGATATTTTAAAACGGTAGCTCTTCAGGGCTCGTAGGCACCTGCTGTTCAGGAGGCCGTTTGTTACAAGTATTTACAAGCTATAAATATAATAACACAAATATATACACAAAAACAGAGAAACAGAACGAACTTAATAATTGCATGCACTACATTTGTTTCTGAATATGTCCTATTTCTAATTAAATATTTACAAAGTTACCAAATTGAATCAAGTGCCGTCAAGAATACGTTTAAATTTGTTAAGGCTAATGCCTTTTTCTTTTGCTGTAATTGATAAGTCATTCCAAAGAGAGGCAGCTGGATAACTAAAACTCTTTTTCATAAAATTTGTTTCAGGGTTTGCAAGATCACAGTTGTTATTGTTGCTTCTTAAATCATATCTGTCATTTATTCTTATTTTGAACATGTTAGAAATTGATGATGGCATTTTTTCGTTTTGTATTCTGTGCATAAAAATTGATTTATTGGATTTATAACGTTGGTTTTTAGGCTGCCAGTCTAATTCTTTTAAAACATCCTCAGAACTAACTTCATAAGTTTTACCAGTGATGATTCGGGCCGCTCTGTTTTGTAATTTCTGACGTCTGTTTTATAAGTAATCACAACAGTTATCCCAAACCAAGCTACAATAATCAAAGTGTGATAACATGATGGCATTATATATTTTTACTAAGGTTGATTTGGGAACAAACTGCTTTATTCGTCGCATCATTCCTATTCCTTTTGAAGCTTTTGTGACAGTATTTTGGATTTTATGATTCCAAAAAAGATGTTCATCAATAATTACGCCTAAAGTTTTTGATTTGTGAACCCGTTTAATGACTGATTGTTCAATTTTAGGGTCCGTTACTAAGTTTGAAATTCATTGTCTTGAGCCAATAATCATGTATTCAGTTTTATCTATGTTAAGTGTAAGTTTGTTTGCAGGTAACCATTGGTGTACATTTTCTGAGTCCACGTTAATGCGTTCTTGTAGTTCGTCATTTGTCTTGCGATTGGTTGAAATATTTGTGTCATCGGCAAACATGCTTGCTGAAGATGAAGTCAGGCAATTTGGCAGGTCGTTTATCCCCGAGCCGACGGCGCGAAGCGCCGTGCAAGGGTATTAATCCCCCCCGGCTATTTACGCCCGGGGAAACGAAAGCATTAGCGAAGTGCAAAGTTCATCAAATATCGTGGGCGTCGGTCACCAACGGTGTTGAGTGGGTGGTCATCCTCACTGATCTCAAAAATATGGCTGATTGCTTGTAGGAGTGGGATGAGCAAGATTTCAATTTTAAAAGACATATATTTGGAAAATCGTTTCATATACAACAAGCTTGAAGCAATTTTGTTTGAAGAAATGAGAAGAATTGATTTACTATGGGAATCGTGAAATATACGGCAAGTTTGTTTTGAATATTTAATGTTTACGAATTTTGTTGCTTTAACTTTTTGCCTAAAAACATGAGCTGTTTTCCTTTTCAACGAAGCTCTAAGTTTCATAAATTACCGTTTAATTTGAGAAAAATCTTAAAATGTAAAGGACAACAAATTGATTTGAAGACTGAACTGAAATTACCTAACAATTTGTTTTATTTGTAACTTATTATGTTTTATTATTAGTTTATCGGCAAATGAACTATAGTTGAATGAAGATTTCAAAACATTTTACGAAGCGTTCTTCCAGGGGCGGATCTAGGGGTTGTCAGATAAGTCGAGCGACTTACGTAAAAATTGCGCAGATAATTACTGATTCATAAAATTGTCCAGTACTCCAGTTGTAATCCTTCCTGCAGTGATAGCAAATGTAATTAATATTCACAATAGTCCAGTTATCAAGTTTCATTCAGCGGTTGTAAGCTCAGTGGCCTTGACTTACTTGAGGCAGATTCTAGCCATTTGATTGGTCGAGAATGGTTTTGCCTCATCTTCGTGGGGATCTTCCTTATTTACGTCATCTATGAGGTATCTGATTGGCTGATTGAAGGAGAATTCTCCTCTCTTATTGGTTCAACTTTTTTGCCTCATCTTCGTGGGGGTCTGCCTTATTTGCGCAATATTTGAAGTTCTGATTGGCCGAAAAAGACCAAATTCTCTTCTCTCATTGGCTCATATTTTTTGCCTCATCTGACTCATTCGGAAAGTTTATTCACCGCGAAGATTAAATTGACGTACGAGTACGACGACAATATAAAATCATTAAAATCGCCATGTGTAAAAATACTCAGTGGTTCCCACAATATATAAAGGTTATACGAGACTGTCCAGTCTAGAAATGGTGAACACAGATCTTTTAAAGCATATCAATACTTCAATACAAGATCGATATATCGAAGAGCTTTTAGCCGCTATTCATACCAAGTCTATCCACAACTATATCACCAGAACCAGTCTCGCTAGAGATTTCAATTCGGTCTCGTCCACCACAATAGAAATGTACTGCGATAAGGTTAGGAGATTATATTTATATTTTAGTTCATAGTCTAGTACTAAGTAAGCTTTAAAACCTGCTTAAAGTGTGCTTATTGACGGCGGTAATAAGATATAAAAGCAGTTTGGCTGCTTAAATTAACTGTGTATAATCATAGTTAAAGCTATAAAGTATAAACCGCTTTTGTGTTCGTTTATATTTGTATCGAGCAATATTTAATTGATGTATTAGTAGCGACAGAATCTGGAGATTTTGAGATTGCATGGTCGGTGTTATGCTGTGTTGTAATACGATATCTAGAAGTAAGCGGATTTTGTGATTGTTCGTGTGAAATCTTGTTGAGAATTGCCTCCGAGATAATCCTCAACACAATAGTTTCTTTTAGCTTTTATTCGACGCTACGAACTATCCTAAAAAACCTCCCACCAATCACTATACATTATATACAATAGCAACAACCATGCAGTGTATTCTGTAACTTTCCGATTCATTACTGTTCTGACTCGCGCGTCCCACGTGTGAACAAAACATTATTTTATA